TGTAGGTTTGCTCATAAAAGGGATATAATTTTTATACTTTTTCATTGATTAATGTGACTTTAAATGTCGTGTAAGTTTTATTTACAAACTTAACTTTTCTGTGATAAAAAGAAGTGACTTGAGAATCTATGACCATGTCGACATACTTAATAAAGTACATTATATTCTACCTGATCTTAATACCCTGCCGACTGTACCGCGCTACTGTGCGGCGCGCGCGCACGCGACATTGCATGCGCGAAAGCTTTTTTGTTTACGCAGCTTTTGTAAGATTGGAGCTTTGCTTGAGCTTCTGGGGTTGTTATTTTAATATCCTAAATTCTGTCTCTTGGCGTTTTGTCTGATTACTTTAGTTAAACCATTAAAATGTAACCTATATTAAAATCTAACCTTTTGTGTAGTCAATTCAATCGTAAATGCTCCATGAATAGACCTTTTAGGAATTTAAACGTAAATTAGGTTATATCTTATGTACTTACAGTGCATATAAGACAAAATTTTTGTTGCAAGATGAATAGGCATAAAGCTTCTTGAATTATGATGTCGTCTATAACCTAACAAATCGTAGAATTTTTTTTTATCAAACCTATCATTTCTTCACTAATTACTTCTTGAATTTACAACATAGGTGTTCGTAGCATTTAACAAAATACAGTCAGCCAGAATTAAGCCATACAAATTATACCGTCCTTTACAAAGAACAAGTCTTTAACCATTATTTCACATTCATTATCACACTGAATTATTTTCCATGTCATTATAACGTAACATTATGAGACACGAATTTGCTTACAATAAGCATTAATTATTGATATTAGTATGATATTTTTAGTCCGCCAAGTGGGAGGTCACGACGGCCGAGGCACAGAAGCGATTACCCCAAATTCACATTTGTTTCGAGATACCAATCATCGGCTGTTATGTAAAGTGACAGAATGCGCCAATATTAGTTGTAAGATGTTTTTAAGCTGACAATGAACGTATAATTGTTATAACAATATTTCTAATTTAATGAGCAGAAAGCGATTACTTAAACAGAATTAACATAATTTACCTAAGTCCTTCCAACCTATTTTTTTTTTGCTTAATATTAATTACCTATGTTGAACGCGGCAGTTGATACCAAATGTTTCGTGTACTCATAAAATAGTCTTTATATTATAAAAAATATTTATAAGAACAAAACATCCTCACACAAGGTGCAATGCAAAACACCAAGTGACACAGTCCCAATCTCAACTGCACACCTATTCCTTCCTCGTTCCCGACTATTCCCGAATGCTTCCTGGTGTATTTATACTGTGGGCGTGGTTATGACAATGGTCCCTCAGTGACAGGATGCCGGCCGGTCAATTTACGACCGGATCCGTTTTATGACTGTCCGATTGGACGAAAAAACAGCTGAATGGACTTATGAGGTTTTGCGTAGAAACCGTTTGGAAAAAATGGTTAATAGTAAAATTGGACAGGAAGAGGCACCGCAAAATAGAGTTAATGGCTTTATTGACGGGTCTTTATAAATTTTTGATATCTAAATTTCAAATAATAAAAAAACTAACCAGTGGACAAATTGCCCTACTAAACGCACAATGCTTTTTATACCGGATTTCGGCAAAGGTAAAACGCAGAATATTATGTTAAAGGACAGAAATTATGGCATATTAGATCATTTTTTGTTTGTAACTTTGATTCTAAGCAGTGGCAGTCAATAGCTTTTAGCTCCCATATTAAGCTCTACTATTTCTAAAGTACATTATTGCTTTAGGATGGAGACACTTTTATGACATCTAAAAACGCAGTGTATCCTTCGTCACTGATATCACAAAAGTTAATTCTTTGTGAAATACCTACCTAAATAAACATTCACCTCTCAAGAATGGCAGGTTAACGAAAATGAATGAGAAATGCATTTAACAATTAAATTAAAACCGAAGGTACGAACAATGCAACGGTTGTTTCTTCACTTCACACACAAAAAGGTCGCCATTCGTTTTTAATAGTAAACGTCTCAATAAATCTCTTTTCCATTTTCGAGGTTCGCTCAAAGAACCAATAATTAGTTTTGGACGTTTTATTCATTCCACTTTTGCAGAAAACTTCTCGTGCAAACTAATAAATCACGCGTACAGAACGCGCTAACTTGTTCCCTTTTCCAAGAATAATAAATAACTGACTGTACACACTACCACTGAAATAAGGACTTTCACGTTCTTTAAAATACCAATTTTAACGAATTCTACGTCATCGTACAGGTTCATTAATGACAATGTCTCCGAAATCTCCCCACAATGTACTTTGCAAATGAGTTTTTTGCAAAAAACCAACGGACCAACAACATTCCGAAACGAATATTTAACACGGCATTTACATAATCGAAATGCCTTTCCAAAAAGTGACACCATAAAAGCTTCAACGTAAAAAATAAATGAACATGATATATTTTGTTGTGTTGATGTTTCAATACGACTGATATTTGATTTCACTCTGATAGCCTTTGGGCTTTTAAAAGAACCGTTTCATCCGGACCATAATATTAACGTCCTACAAGAGATCCCACGTATTTGATATCAAGATAAACAACACCGTGTAATAACTTTGATTTAGATCATAAAGATGCTCCCTAATTGTTGTAGACACTTCGAGTAACAATACACCACACACGACGACCAATCTTGCTCGAATGTATTGTCTATACACCAATCATGCTTTTTTTTTTCGATGATTTGTGAAGGCAGGACGTAGGCAGGCACAATGAGGCAAACATGCGGGCCGGAGAATGGCACTTTATGGTTAGGAACCATTGTGGTGACGCACATGGCAACTCTGCCTTTAAACTACTAGGAAGCGAGCTATAAAACAAAAGAGCATCTTCAAACTAGAAGCATGAATGACGGCAAAGATTGCTAAAATAAAAGACAAGCTGAAACAACTCTATTCCTGAAACGGGAGCGCTAATGAAGCGAAACGTTAATACAAATAGAAACGACAAAAAGCGGGCGCAGAATAAATGGGTGAAGAGGCACGCGATACGATCAATCAGTTCAAAAGGACTTAATGAATCAAACGACAGTCGACTGGCAACACCTCTTTTGTGGCTGGACAAAATCGACTTTGACGAAGCAAACGGAGCCAAAATAACCGATCGCGTCCAACGCATTGTGCGCCCTATAATTAGACAGCTTGGAAATAAACACGTGTGGGCAATTATCGCAGCAGAAAGTTAAATGAGGCACCAAGAAACTGTCGTTAAAGGGCTGGCCTGGCATCCGGTGACGAAACTAAGGCAGATAAAGGATTGCGGCACTTCCGAGAAACGTCTTCATACCACAAATTTATATTCGATTTTATATTCAACATAACGAGTTACGCAATCACTATAAATAAGACGTGGAAAACAACAAGTTTATTGCACAGGTAAGGGGCGCTTAAATAAATTGAGCTCGGGAACGACGCATCCATCTTCCAGCGTGAGAGATTTAAGGAACACAAAATTACACATGCGAGAGGTCTCGCTTGCGAACAAAAGCATTTATTGATACTCGGGGGTTTCAATAATAAAGCGTAAAATATTGCAAGCTGGAGGAGAGCTATTAGCGTCGCATTCGTCAGTGTGTTAAATTCGGAACGTTTGGTAAATTAACGATTTGAAATTTTAATTTTGGAGCTCGAACTCGGGGCTACCCCAAGGCGCGGTGCTCGGTTATTAATCATTGTTTCGGCTGCGCCCGCGCCGAGAGCCATGCGTCTCGCACCCTCCGAGGCCCAGCTCATTTGTTAAAGCGCTCGCGTCTCATTTTTATTAACGCCAACGTAAACGTCTCAATCCCGTTGACGATTTCCTCAGTCATTTGTCAGAGACAATGAGTCTCGGAATCGGACGGTCCCTTTCCGAATTTACGATAGTGTTTTATTGTGTCCAGTTACAAAAGATTAATGCTGTCGTCAAATCGGCCGACTTACGCGTCCGCTGTATGCAATAAATTATCATTAAGTAACACCTTGTCTCACCTGGCGGGGCTTATTTATAGCCCCCGTAAACCACGGTTAATACGCCGGCTCTAATCTAATCTAAAAATTTTTACCTGCTCCCGATATAAATTCTGAAATAGCATCCAGTAAAAAAGATACTGAATTCGTAATAAACGTAATGGAACGGGATGTTCGTAAAGGTGCACAAGAAGCAAATATGAATTTTATTGGCGATAAAAGAAGTGCAATTTTTTTAAATTGGAATTGTACACAACATTGTAGGTGTGTTGGTGGATTGTATGGAATAATACTGGTGCAATTATGCAATAAAAGGTCTCGCGGTCTTGTAATGCTTAATGATGCACTCTAGGTTATAGACTGGTCCGATGAGCCCAGGCGGTGTTTCGGAACGAAACGACCGAGATACTAAAAGGACACTGGCGTTGCAAGGAATCATAATAAAATTACATATGTAGATGGATTCCTCAGATATTGGAAAGGCTTCAACCATTCCCACTTCGATGGGCAAGCTTCTAACGAGGTTATAAAACTAAAAGTGTTTTATGAAAACTGGTATAATGCTATTAGCGGAGGCCGTAATAAACATGAATTAGGAGTGAGCCATTATGTTGAAGTAGCGAGTAAATTATAAAGGCTTGAAGTACTAACGCAACTTTACTGCGCTTTAATGGATAGACTCAATTTCGTTTACTAATTAAAGCTAAGATTGATAAACATTATAAATACAGTTGTAACATCAAATCAGAAAGTTACCTAAGTAACATGGGTTTACTGAATTCAAGTTTAGCAACTCTAGGTGCAATAGTAACTATCAAATTAGCTTTGTCGTAGAAGCAAATCCTCCCCTGTTATAGTTTAGACCTATTGGTATTGCTCAGTAAAATCATTACACACCCACATATTCCACCACCAATTAGAATTTCACTTGCAAACGTAGTTTTCCCCGCTTCTAGCATAGGGAGAGTTACATAACTATACAATAAAGCTCAATAGACTAAAAAAACACTTACTGGGCATGATGATGATAATGCGTAGCGTGATGCATGGCTGCCGTAGGTGCACCACCAGGGGGCGTCGTCGCATGGAAGGCTGCAAAAGCAGACGGGAACTGTAGAGGCAAAAAACCACCGCTGCCCGCTGTCCCTGGACCTCCTACCGACTCCCGATCTGGCATTATTTTAAGTCCTAACACTTCAACATCATCTAGTCCTTCACTCACTGCAGTCAATACAAAAACACTGTCACTTTCACAATGTTCATCAACTGTTGTAGATTTAGCACCAGTCAAGTCAACTCTAAGCGTATCTCATCCATTTTCATCAACACTATCGTTGACTTGCTATAATTTATCACTTTTTGCATCGTTGCTTATGATGTATTGTGTACTTTGCGGATCCACTTCTATCATTCTTCTGTTTTTTGCACCTGTAACAAAGAGTAAATTATAGTTCGTTATTCTCCCCTCAAATTCGGTGGCTGCATTCTGATTGTTAAATTAAACGTGTTTTTCTGCGTGTAAAGCGAAAGAGTTAACGTGTCTGTGTTCGTTTGCGTGTCGGTCAGTTGTTACTTCAATTGCCACTATTATGTCTTTATTTTAAGAGTGAGTTAAGCGATTACCTCCCTTCTTCGCGTCGGGTTTCTGCTGAACTAATGTTAGGGCCCGGTTGGTTATTCATTTTGTTGGCATTGAGTGGAGCGCGCGTTCCGACAACGACGTAAATTGTTTTTATTGTTTCTAATACAAGTTTAAAGTGTAATCGCACTTCGTCGGAACTCAACAAGTGGGAATGCTTTATGCCTTGTTCAAAACCGTTTTTAACAGAAATAATACGACATGACGTGCTGCTTTTGAATGAAATTTTAAGATGCAAATCATAAACAAAAAGTGGAATAGGAAGCACGCATAACCTATTAAATAGCTAATGAGAATAATTAAAAAACAATTTATAAGGAAATAAGGAAATCCAAATCCAACTATCTTATGATACAAATACACCTATTTTTATATCTATTCGTATGAATATTTAAACAGGAACTTATAAAACAAATTGCTACTGATTAGCATTATTAGTAGATAGTCAACAATGATAACTTGCAAATGTTAATAAACACTACCAGTGATATCTTTTTCATCGGCTAGTATTTGAATTATTAGCATTTTAAATTCAATTTGCTTTATAGTATCGACAGCTGTAATCTTATCTAAAGGATTGTTTTTCTCGCTTTCTTAATTTTATTTCTGCAACTCAGTGGTACTATTTATAGTAGTTGGTCTTACATTAGTATTATCGGGGACATTTGAGTCCAATACGATATAAGCAGGTGGTTTTCGATGGCATTTGATATTCCTAATACGCAAAATATAATTAGTATTACTATGTCTCACGATTTCAGATAACGTTACAGCTTTCGCAGGATTAAGAAAATAGTGTTGTCTTGACATTACACTTATCGGCAATTTATCTACATTTGTTTTTAATAACTCTGAATAAACAATTGCAAAGAATTTACTTCATTAAACGTGGATTCAAGTACGAAAGTCACAAAATCGTTGGCACTTCTGTAATTCGACATGCCCAAAAAAGGATTCGTTTTAATCAGCATAATTGAATTAATTTACTTTGAAAGCGTAGGTACTTCCAGTTTTTGTCAAAATCGTTCGTTTCTCACAATGGGGCCAATTACCATAAAAATTACATAGACATGGGAAACGGTCTTAATTACATAAAAATCATGACAAGTCGCGGGCATGTGACAAAAAGTGGAGCGACAATTTGTTGCCTGAGAGGCTGCGTCGCACATACAGGTGTCGCGTGGTACGGGGGACGAAATGTTGCGGGTAGCAGGAAATAGGGCAAAAGAAAGAAGCGAAATCTGATTAATTTATTAAGATAGCTTTGAATCTTTAATGGTTAATTTTGTGGCAGGCAGTATAGATGTCTTGGGATCACTGGTCACATCACCAAGTGATGAAGATGAGTACCTAATCTCTTTGAAAAGGCTCTGTCAGACTCATTATTATGTAATATCTACCTATTTCTACATAGGTGTATTATTTTATCACATTATTAACATAATATCAATTATAAATCAAATGATCTTTAAAACAATTCACGCGTTCAACATCTGTCTTACACCATAAGCACCAAAGGACCAACCATCAGAAAAATTCCTTCCGTAATTAATGAAGATGTGATTGTTTCGGACTCAGCTCGAAGCATTGTCCCCTTAATAGGGCCCGAGTTATAGTCGCGTAATGAATCGATCGTAAAACTCGATATCGACATATCGATACTCATTTTCATTCAATGAGATTTACGATGTTTATGTATGCAAAATTGGCGGGCGTTTCGAGTGTCAAGTTTTATCGACCATTCAAAAATTGTACTGAGAATTTTGAATGGACACGATAAATGGTGTGTTTTCCTTTTTTATTACCTCACAGCTTTTGTGCGAGTCGTGATTTTGAGCGTTTTCTGAAACGGCATGGTAATTAAAGTGTAGTTTAATTGTTTTATACGCGGTTTATTGTTCTACGGTGGTACTGCGTAATCATAACACTGGAAATTCAAGACGTCGTAAAGCAAAGTTTAATCGCAAGTACAATAAACACTATTACGTTTTTACAAAGCGTGTGTTGGCTTTAATGGCAACGTACTTTGCTTGTTGGCTTCCTAATACAAGCCACTTTTATTTGCTAGACTTTTATATTCTTTGATGAAGGTATAATAAAAAAAATCAGTTCATCATTAATCTAAACAACTCTGTAGACTTGCCATGAAAATTATCTTACACTAACATTAAAGATAAAGATTGCTTAATTTGTTTATGTTGGATAGAATCCGAAATTACTGGACCTATTTGAAAAATTTACTCTAGATTCGCTCCAATTAATTGAGCCAGTGTATCCGATTGATTTAAAAAAAGACATTATTTTGATTTTGACTATGTCGACACCAAAATATCGATAACTCGCGTTCCCATCACTATCCCTAAAATATGGGTGCGATGCGCGCGCGCATGCCGCTCTCTTAATACGGCCTTTAATTACGATTTAATTGTTTTTACCCGCGTCGGATTGTTCCTCTTCTCCGAACCGAATGAACTGGTGCATTACTGCCTTTTTATTGGTCGGTTAGATTTGTTCACAGATAACTTAGTAGATGATTGCGTTGCGTGGCTTGAGATTTATATAAATACTAGCTGACCCGGCGAACTTTGTTCCGCCTTAATGGCAATAAATAAGCAGACTTTTTTTTTTATTTCGAACGGGATAAAAAGTATCCTATGTCCTTCTCCTGGCTCTAAACTACCTCCCTGACAATTTTCAGCTAAATCGGTTCAGCCGTTCTTGAGTTATAAGTGGAGTAACTAACACGACTTTCTTTTATATATATAGACTACCTTTCCGCCCGCAGCTTCGCCCGCGTGAAATTTTTCAAAAACCGGGACAAAAACTATCCTATGTCCTTTCCCGGGACTCAAATTATCTCTATGCCAAATTTCATCAACATCGGTTCTGTGGTTTAGGCGTGAAAGCGAGACAGACAGACAGAGTTACTTTCGCATTTATAATATTAGTATAGATTTTATAGAGTTGTACTTTTCAAATGTTAACAAGTTCAGCAACTTTTTATTTTCATTTTTCCCGTTAACATTTATTAACAAGTGTGGAAGTAGCCATGTTGTAACATTTTGTGAATTCTTTGACAGTATTTCCAAAATAGTATTTTTATCTCTTTATAAAGTTAGCCAACGAAACTAGCATAGAATTAACAACAGAATGAAAATTACGACATCGGCAAAGGCCAGTTACCTTATTTTTATTGAAAATAATACTTTCCATGTAAATTCGATTAGCGTTATGACCCAGCTGCATGACTCTGAACATTTACTCAACATAATATGTAAAATATTTAGATATATCAATCCCTCTATAAACGGGTTTAAAAAATAGAAACGTCGGGCTTAAACTAATAATCCTGTAAAATATGACTACATACTTCCCGCTGGACAAATTACCTGTTCCGATCTTTTATTGGAAATTGAACTTTATTATAAAGGTCTAGGGTGTAAAATAGGTTGTCGATTGAATGTTGGTATGGGAGAATAGTAAAAAGGCATGGAGTATTCGAAACGCACAATAAATTGAGTGTCGCCAGCGTTTTTATCTTTATTCCGAGAAGTGGACGTTGGGGCTGCGCTAGCGCATACCGTGGTTGTGCGGCGCTACCTGATTAAGGTGGAGTGATCTTCAAATTTAGCTAACTACCGCTAAAATCTACACATTGTGTATACATACAGCGAAAACAAAATAGGATATTGCTTCAATTACCTACTTATCTACCAAGCAACCGGGCAACATGGAAAGCATTGGGGGAGGCCTATGTTCAGCAGTGGACGTCCTATTGCTGAGATGATGATGATAACCTAGTTATCAAGAAAAGTAGGTAATAAATCTTAGAGGAACTAGAAATATTATTTGGAGAATTTAGATGAAAGAAAGATGGATGTGACAATATCAGGGGCTTTAAATAGGTAATTTAATCAATTTAACGAAAGCCAGAGTCATTTATTTTAAATAAGTAATTTAATCAATTTAACGAAAGCTAGAGGTTTCACAAGATTTTTCATTAAGCTTGTTGAAGCAGCCAGAAAGCTTGACCTTAAACAAACACGCTTCGGCTACACTATGAATGCATCTTGTATGAGTGCACTGTGAATCATGCGGTATACAACTACATATAATATTAGCACAATCTTTGAATACAATCTTTGTTGGAGAAATATTAGCAATTAGTGTTAGCGCCATCTACCGAACGGGAACAGACAATCCACATGTCAAAGTGACAATGTCAAATCACTCAGAACTCAACTGCGCGGGAATTTGAGCTCACTGTACTGTGTTTCCTCTTGTGAAAGTTTAGTATCTATGGACGAATGGACAGATGGATGTTTGTTACTCTTCCATGCTTAAACTACTGAACCGATTTAAATGAAACTTATACAGAGAGATAGTTTGAGACTCAGAGAAAAACACAGTAAAGTTCTTAATCCCTCTTTTTGGAAAAAGTGACACGCAAAAGCTATTTCACATGAAGATTTTTCATAAATTCTTTCGCCATTAGAATTCTACATTGATTTTGATAAAAATAGGCGGTACTTAGTTCGCCTAAAATTATAATTATGATCAAAGAATTCAATGTGACACTAAGGCACGCCAAAATACATGTGTCTCGACGTCAAAACTAAAGAAACGTGCCGCATATTATATTGTGTATTATCGATAAACATCCAATGATAAATAGTTTTCTATCAATAATATTCCATTCCACAGTCCAACCACGGATCGACAATTTACGCTGTGCTTGACGCGTGCGCATTTACTCTGTGGTTAGAAACCATAGAGCAATCTTTTTTTA